AGCCTGGGTTTCATCTGTACCCCAAGTGGGGTTTGAGACCTGGTCGTGTGCATCGTTGTGACACATTACCACTTTGCTACAGGGCCTGCGGATTACAAGGCAGGTTTCACTCGTCACATTTTTAGATTCGGCACAGTACCTCCGAAGCGTTCAGCCGAGGCTGCCAGCACAAACCAAGCACCTCGTTTTCGTAACTTGGTCGTATTCTCAGGGCCTCTTGTCTGAATTCTTCTGCTCTAGGAGTCATGACAATTTCCGTGGTCAGACCTTTATTTGATACAAGCATCATGAGTGAATAAGCCTTGCCATTATTAACAATAAAATACAACTTGTCAAAGAGTTGAATGAATCCCATCCATCCAGCAACTTTCTGCCTAACGATTATGGTACCACTCCTGTCCTTTTCCATCTACCTACCCTCTACCCTCGTATCTATCTCCATCTCTATCACAACTTGTAACTTGTTTATATTGGACTAGTTACTTTGAGTGGGTGTATGGAGACATTATCGAATCCCCCGCTGGTTTATTTTGCCTCCTTTTGATTTACTGGAATCGTTGATCCGGCCCTGGAAATTATCATGACCACTATATATTTATATATATATGTATATATACATGTATATACATAAAGAGACCACACTACCCGGGTTTGCATGTCTGCACCTTATGCCTACTCTCCTTTACCAATATTCATTGCAAGCTTGTATCATATGTTGACTGGTAAACTTCGTCAGAATCTATACATTTGCTCAGTGCCTTCCTTCTCCAACTCAATCTGCCAACCTGCAGCCCCCCTGCCGGCGTGGTATTCGGATTTCTTCTGGTATTCGTGCCCACCGTATCCATCCGCATGACTATGACAATTGGGGCTTTTTGGACCCATCAAGTTTTCGTTCTTGCCAGGCTTTACGGACGAGGGACGAAATGGTGTCTTTATCTAAGGCTTCGGTTGGCGAGGCTAATAGCCCGAATACACCACCAAGTGTCGGCAGATGCTCTAGTCATTCCTCGCTCCACTCGGCACAGATTCTACTCTTTACCTCATCATCCCATTCCACCTCATCTCAATTTGTTCTGGTTGGCCTAGGGACTAACGGACTTGAGCTCGCGATTCACTATATTCTTCTGACAAGTCTTGGCTTCCCTTTTGGTTCACCTGTATTTCATCAAATCTAAATTTTTGAGCGAATTACTGATGAATCATATCGGACTAACGAACTGATTAAAACTGACATCGAAGCTATGTTTACCATGATAGTGTGGTCTTTATTTTTTTTACCGCGAAACGCTCCTTGACCGAAATCCTCTGCCATAGTAGTAACGATAATTTCCAGCGTCAGACTTGCTATATCCCTGACGTTTTGCTGCCATCATGGTCGATATTTCCAATGCGCCCTTCATTCCCTAGCACCGAGCTAAAATTCGCTAAGAGGACAACTGAAGTCTATCTATACCAAATTCGTTTTGAACAACTGTGGTATATCTCCTATCCCACTGCACCTTTGTCAGTTTATCCGCTTCACTCTACTCTTTGATTAGTTGCATCTCGATGCTAAGCATGACAAGACTCACTGTCGATGCCAACAAAACTTCTGAGAGTTTACCAAGTCTACGCTTCGACACTGGAAGTTATCATAATTACTATAACGGAGGACTATGGACAAAGTGCGACCATCTAGGTTCCCCTAACAAAACGATCTCTGCTCGTTTAAGCTTCGTCCGGGCGTGTGATATCTGTTTTTTGTATCTAAGATCCAAGTGTTTTGTTAATAGAATCAGGGATGATGCTGGATACATTTCCAGGGGATGCTGACTGGTGAGATTAGATCCTAGTTGAGGTGATTTTGAATCTCGAGCTGCTTCGAGAAATCGAGAAGGCATCCTACAGTTGGATCATTATTGAGCTTTACCACAATGCGATGAGCAGGCCCCAAGATGCCATTGCATTTCACTTGGCCTTGCCCCCCAAAGGGCTATTTCATCCAAGTTGACCTGAACCGTACTCCCGGCTCTTGAATATCTCTGAGGCATTACTACTCTACTAGTAACCAGGTGTACCAGAGATACGCAGGGCAAACGCGACATTCAAGGCAAGTTAGGCCTCATCCAAGTCACATTTATGGTGGAATTGTTGATTAAGCGACGTGTCTTTGTCACTGCAATCAACACTATTTTTTATCGGTTTGATTCGTTTTTGATACTATCACTAACTTGGAATCTCTTTACTCTTCTGTATTCGAGTGTTGCAAATATCATTTGCTTTCTACACGTTTTGACGACGATTTAATGACTCCTGTCTTAAGCTACTAGACCGAGAGTGTTTTGTGTTTGGATGATAATTATAGTAGTTTTTCTTACTTGGCGGTTTCTATGGCAAATAAAGCGATTCTACTTTTAGTCTCGAAGCTGAAATTGATTGTAAGGGATTTCTTACCTGGCCTCACTGGAATCCGAAGGAGGATTGCATTCTAGTGGGGATTGCCGGATTGTATGAGGAGGTCTTTCACTCACCCTCTTGCGGCTCAGATATATCCGAGCTAAGCTTTCGTCGGTAACATGATAGACATTGTCAGAGCTAAATAACATTATTTACGAAAACGCGCACTAAAGGCAGTACGCTTATTGTGCGTGTTTTCGTAAGTGATGATGTATCCTTTTGTCCACGTCTGCCGCATGGCAGACGAAGGCGTTGCACAGATTCATCGGATTCGCAGAACGATGAGCCGGAGCACTTCTTCGCACAATCCAACCATCACCACTTTCGAAGGCAATTCTCTTCTGATTTCCAGTCAGGTCAATTCATTTATTCCTTGCAACTAAATTTTCATCCGGAATGAAAGCCCTCCCCACATTAACTTGATAAGGGATTCCTCGAAAGCCAGCTTTTCTTCTTGTAAGCAAGACATTTGAAGGTAAAGCGCGAAGAATATTTATTTTTTCATCTGAATCATTCTGGACTACTTGGACTACTCGTACACTTAGTTGCTTTTTATGCTGGTGCTTTCATCACCATTTAAGGCTCCTTGCTCCATCCTTCTTGTTTAAATACATAATGCTTGAAAGGCTTTATATTTTAATATTTAATATTGTACCATGATGCAGGTGTCGAATTTAATTCTCACTTCACATCGTCTGGTTCACGCAAGGCCTCTTTTACATAAATTTTTTTTCTGCCGAAGGCAAACAAGTTGCGGGTCTATCGTGTTTGTCCATTCATTGCTGGATTGCCTTAAGACGGCTTCATTTTTGAATAGGCCTCCCCAACTCAAAAAAGGACGGGGTAGGAAAGTTTGAGGTGTCATTGCAAGTAAGTTACGAATTCTTGGTAGATGGCTAACTGCTGGGCAGGTCACCTCCATTAGGTGACGGGCATTTTCACATCTTCAGACTTTATCTTCTAAGTAGAACTCTATGCATACATTGTTAAATCTCTGACTTTTCGCCATTATTTCCAGGAGGTTCTCACTTCCAAGAGGCTTTCAATATGACACTCAAAGATGAGTTATGGATTAATATAATACAGAGGACCGTGCCTTGAGGAATAGGATGAATCCTTAATGCCATTATTACTCATACGAATGCACAGCACACCAAATAATCCTCATTTTTCCATTTGACACAGGACCACTTCATGCTCACCAGAGATTGACCGATTATTTTATGCTATAAGGGCTAGTGTTGTTGAGACTTTTATTTCGTATTAAAGTGTATGAAGAAGAGGCTGGTAGGTGAATCTCATTAGAAAACAGCTGATTCCCGTTGTGCTGCAGCCGTTTGGCCTTAATACAATGTTCAGGTTGTCGCAGTTCTCGAGATATCCTCTTTTTTGGCGAAACCGGACTAGACTTTCGTCCATCATCGTCAGGGCTGGAACTTATTCTTGTAAAAGTCTCAAGTTAACACTAAGAAAAGCAGACTGTCTCGTGGACTGCGTCAACTTAAAAGTTGTATTAAATCCAACCAGCTGCAGTACAACGGAATCAGCTGTCGTCTTCCGATGAGATCAACCTGTCGATCTCTTCTTCATGCAATTTCATACGAAATAAAGGTCCCCATAACACTTATCGTGGGAGATTTTGAGAAGCCCAGTTACTCTTTGTATCTATAAGGGGCATACAAGACTGTCTTACTTTCCTTGCGATAGAGACCTCTTTCTCCATCACTGGGAGATGTATCTTTTATTGCTTATCTGATTATTCTCTCATCCTCATTACGAAATCTTTCATTAATCAGTTTTCGCACGCAAGATTGACCCCTCCGAGCGCCTTCTATTGACTCTGCTCAACTGGGCTCGGATGCATTCAATGGCTCTTGATTTCTCCGTCGCTATGCGTCAGAAGCGTCTTGTGCTGCAGGAGAACGAGAATTGGGAAATAAACGTAAGCTGTTTTATTCATATTTTAACTCAATCTTAACTTTTCCTGTTTGCAGCTTAATGCCGATTTCATACTTTATGACTATCTCTCAACTTCTACTACTGACAAGCAGTAGCAGCAATCACATTACTTTGAAGAACAGCTGTTTAAGGAGAAAAAGGTACTCAGCTCGGTAGATTCTCTCTCTAGGGCGGGATTATCAGCTGTCCCAAGTAGGAGTGACCCGATGACTTTCAGTTCAAGACTTTCGCCTCATTTACAATGCTTGACCATGTTTTCTTGAAAGAATCGGAGACTCCCTATACTGAGCCATCCATCATGTGTTCTTATGGCATATTATAACTACTCAGATACACTATTGGATCTTTTGTCTATGTAACCATATGCAAGTCTCTATACTTGCATATTTTGTCTTTACATGGCAAATTTATTAAGGTTTGTCGAGGAAATAAGCAATGTAGTCATTATATTTGCATAATTGTTGAGCTTACTTCCATTTCGAGTAGCAGTGTTGGGTGAAGAGATTCGAAGGTCGGTTCCACCAGAAGACGACGGCG